CCCTAACCCCCACCAAGATTTTAAGACCATTGAGAGCAAAGACTGCATTTCCTACTTTTGTCTGTAGTCCCCTTTTCTGCAAAGCACTTCGCTAGACCCACAAAACTCACTTAAGGTACCTAACCGGATTAATTCAGGTGCCTAGAGGTGACCAAATAACAACCCTGGTTCAGGGAAGGAAAATTACATGAGAGGAGAGAGGGAAATGTAACAAAAGAGATGAACAAACCAGCAGAAAATTGGAAATTTTCCAAAGCGGGGGGAAAACTAAATCAGTAAGTACTGAACATCTAGGCAGCACTGAGTTAATTGCTATAAAATAGTGATTAAATCCAATCACAACAGTGCTATATCTTATAAACACATTATGTAAGTCTTTGTGTTAAAAATTTAAAGATGACAATGTGCTCTACCAATAAATATTGGCTCAATATAAGAGATGAGCTAAGATGACAAGTATTTAAAACAGAAATTAAAAACTGTAGAAACCGGGACTTCCCTGGTGGCACAGTGGTTAAGAATCTGCCTGCCGATGCAGGGGACACGGGTTCGTGCCCTGGTCCAGCAAGATCCCACATGCCGCGGAGCGGCTAGGCCCGTGAGCCATGGCTGCCGAGCCTGCTCGTCCAGAGCCTGTGCTCCGCAACAGGAGAGGCCGCAACAGTGAGAGGCCCGTGTACCGCAAAAAAAAGAATCCGCCTGTCAATGCAGGGGACACGGGCTCGAGCCCTGATCCAGGAAGATCCCACATGCTGCGGAGCAACTAAGCCCGTGCGCCACAACTACTGAGTCTGTGCTCTAGAGCCCGCACGCCACAACTACTGAAGCCCGTGTGCCTAGAGCCTGTGCTCCGCAGCAAGAGAAGCCCGTGCACCGCAACGAAGAGTAGCCCCTGCTCACCGCAACTAGAGAAAGCCTTCCCGCAGCAGCAAAGACCCAACACAGCCAATAAATATATTAATTTAAAAAAAGAAGTGTAGAATCTGGAGACAGGGTCAGTGATATTTGAGAAAGAAGTAGTGTCTATGTACACAGAGAGGCAGGATAAATGAATCAGTATTTCTGGCAGAATCTTTCCAAGCACTGTAGGAACTAATCCAGACTATGAGACAGGCTTCTATCTTTTTTTTTTTTTTGTGGTACGCGGGCCTCTCACTGTTGTGGCCTCTCCCGTTGCGGAGCACAGGCTCCGGACTCGCAGGCTCAGCGGCCATGGCTCACGGGCCCAGCCGCTCTGTGGCATGTGGGATCTTCCCGGACCAGGGCACGAACCCGTGTCCCCTGCATTGGCAGGCGGACTCTCAACCACTTTGCCACCAGGGAAGCCCCAGGCTTCTATCTTTAAAGTACGCCTAAAGACTATACCCTTACTTTAAAAGCATTGTAGCTTGGCTGTCTGAAATATGCCAAAAAGGGTGTCCCTGTGGCTCTTCCTTCAGGGGAATAATGATTAATATACAGCTAAAAGTTTAGTTCCTTCCTCAAAGAAATAATATCTGAGTGCAGTTGCTACTATGACATAAGTTCTGAACTGCTGGAAGCACAGGCATTACGGAATTCACAAAGAATTCTGGAAGAAGTTATAAATCTCTGTCCATCGCCTTGGAAAACAGTATCCATTTCCTAAAAGCTGTCAGTTCAAGTTCAAGACAACCCTATCTGGAGCAGATTCTGATCTGCCAAAATCTTTCACGATTAAAAGGCCAGAAGATTTCAGCATGTTCAGGGTCTGGCCTTGAACAGATCAGGTGAGGAGGGAGGTTTCTCCAATGAGGTAAGCCACCTCACTAGAAACTCCACTCCTCTGCAAAGTTATAACGTCCTTAAGCCCAGTTCTCCACACTTATTGATGAACTTCTCCTGCCTGGGTCATTTAAAAGTCTTCCAAGGCAGCCACCCCACCCCTAGAGTGGCCTGGCTGGATTCCTCTGTAGAGCTCTCTCCTAGATTTTTATCCCCTGTTGGCAACGTCTTCTTACTCTACCGCCTTGCTATTGTGCAACTGATTAAAGGATCGCCCAGGCCTAACTGCAGGGGATTGGTTGTGGTACAACTGGTGAGCCCAGCCCACAAGAACGAAGCTAGCAATCTTGCAGACTGCAGGGGCTGCCAGCAAAGTCCCAACCCTCTAGCCAGAGGCCGTCACCAAAAGGCAAAGTTACGAAGTTAAAAATGAAGCACCATTCCCTTCATAATGTCCTTCAAGATCGCAGTCCAGTCTCCTCCCTCTGGAGAAAAGCCCAGTGAGGGGAAAGACAACCTTTGAGCTCCCTTTTCCCGTGACCAATTAATTCAACGCTCTTCACCTCTACCCCAGTGTTCTTCCTTGTAAACAGTTTCTGGTCGTACTTTGAAAAGCAGTGTTCAGAAACCCCGCTCTGCATTGCCCCTTCCCCAGGATCAAGCAAGCCCCCCAGCAAGGGTGCCCTGCTTGACAACGCCCTCTTCGATCTACCTCCAAAGGCGGCGCCGCCAAAACTCTACCCTCAAGGCTGCCAGCGCTCTACCCTCAACACTATTACTTGAGCACTATTTTATCACTCCTCCTCCAGCCTGGGGACTCCCCCCACCCGCGGGGCCTGGTCCAGCAAAGTAAACAATGCTGTCAAAGCAGGATAACACTGGGCGAGGCTTCCAAACTCCGCATTCCAGCCTTCTCCTGGTGTTCTAAAAGCAGCTAAACAAGTCATCGCAGCGTCCCAGGAGCGACTTACTCTCCCCAACTTCCTTTCTACAAAGGCCCGGGAGACGGCTCCAAAATCAAGCGTCAATGTGCACAACTACACAATATGTAAGAGGCAGAGGTAATGCGGAGTGAGTGCAGGGCCAAATGTAGACGAATTTGCCCCGGAGCAGGAGGAGAGGGGGCAGAAAACTGGGCAGAGTGCGTAAACCTGCCACGAGGCGGGAACAAGGGCTTTTTTTCGCTACAGGAGAGCCACTTCCCAGAGTGGGCACGCACTGAATCGAGCTGCAGGCGAGAGAGAACGCGAAGTTAAGGTTCCCGAAAGCTGTCTCACGGGGGCTTTGGTGGGGCTGCGGCGGAGCCGGGGTGGCCGGAGCGGCCAGCGTGGACACGCCCTGAGTTAAAGGATCGTGGCGGGAAACTGAGGGGACACCGCGGAGGCTGGCGCGGACGCGCTCGGGAGCCGGCTCCAGGCTCGGGTGAGGGCCGCGCGGGCGGCCGGCGCTCACCTCCCGGCGTGGTGGAGAAGAGCGTCCCCCCGGGCGTGGTGCAATAGTCATGAGGTAGCTGCGCGGCGTCGCTGATGGGCACGGTGCGGGTGGGGATGGCGCGGCTCTGGCTGGGCTGGTGGCCGTTGCCGGCGGACGAGGACATGGCTCTGGACGCGGGCTCTCGGGCTTTGTCCGGCGGGTGGCCAGGCGGGCGGGCGGGCGGGCGGCGGCGGCGGCTGGGGGCCCGGGCTGCTTCGGCTGCTCCGGCGGGCGGAAGGGCGGGCGGGGCTCGGCGCGCTCCGCTCGCTCCTCGCTCGCTTCCTCTCGTTCCCTTGTCCCGCTCCGCTCCCGCCGCCGCCCTCTCAGCCGCCGCCGCCGCCGCCGCCCGTTCCTCCGGCCTCCGCCAGCAGCCTCAGCAGCAGCAGTAGCAGCAGCAGCAGCAGCAGCGGCAGCAGCGGCAGCAGCGGCGACGACGACGACGACCGGAAGCGGGCGAAGGCGGGAGCCAGAGAGAGCTCGGGGTAGCTGGTCGGCCGGATGTGACGTTACGAGGGGCGGGTGCTGTGCGACGAGGCGGGGCTGCTGATGGGCCGGGGCTTAAGCCCTGAGGGCTGGGCGCGAGTCGGGCAGAACCTACGCCAAGTGTTTGTCAGCAGCGCGTCGGTGGGCACGGAAAACTTGCGTGTTTTTTGTTTGTTTTTTGCGGTACGCGGGCCTCTCACTGCTGTGGCCTCTCGCGTTGCAGAGCACAGGCTCAGCGGCCATGGCTCACGGGCCCAGCCGCTCCGTGGCATGTGGGATCTTCCCGGAATGAGGCACGAACCCGTGTCCCTTGCATTGGCAGGCGGACTCTCAACCACTGCGCGGCCAGGGAAGCCCGCGTGTTGTTTTTTTTTTTAATTGTCAATCAACACTACTTTCCTTGAGCCGACTTCTGTTTCCTAAACCATCTAAACAAAAGTGTTATTTTACTTTTAATTGCTCAATATTAAAATAAGCAATGCATGCATTTATTAAAAAACACAGCAGAAAGGTTTACGATGCCACCTTTCCCAGTTTCCCAATTCCCCTTTCGAGGGTGAACCACTGGGACGAGCTTATTGTGTATTCTTCCACAGACAGTCCTTATATACAGACATAATGCAACATATAAACATTAAGAAAATAAATTAATAGCTGCCCATGTCACATGAGTGAGTATTGTGTTAGAGATAAAAGAAACTGAAGCACAGGGGAAGGTTAAGACCACGAGGTACCTGGAAAATTCAAATCTGTAACACTTTCTTTCCTCTAGGGATCCTCAAACTTTTTGATGTTAAAATTTACATTCTTGAAAAATTATTGAGGATCCCAAAGAGCTTTTGTTTGTGTGGATTATATCTTGATAATTACTCTATTAGAAACTAAAACAATCTTTAAATGTTTACCAATTCATAAAATAATGTCATCCCATGTAAACATAATATTTTATTTTTAAAGTTATATTTTCCAAAAAAATTAGTGAAAACAGTGGGGTTTTTTTACATTTTGGCAAACATTTTAATGTATCCGTAATAGGAAACAGCTGCAATCTCACATCTGTGTCTTTTTTTAAAGATTTTTTATATATTTAATTATTTATTTTTGGCTGTGTTGGGTCTTCGTTGCTGGTTGTGGCGAGCGTGGCCTACTCTTCATTGTGGTGCACAGGCTTCCCATTGTGGTGGCTTTTCTTGTTGCAGAGCATGGGCTCTAGGTGCGCGGGTTTCAGTAGTTGCAGCATGCGGGCTCAGTAGTTGTGGCTCGCGGGCTCTAGAGAGCAGGCTCAGTAGTTGTGGCGCATGGACTTAGCTGCTCTGTGGCATGTGGAATCTTCCTGGCTCAGGGCTCGAACCCGTGTCCCCTCAATTGGCAGGCGAATTCTTAACCACTGTGCAACCAGGGAAACCCTCACATCTGTTTCTGTGTTCAATCTGTTGTGTTGATTCAAGTATAAGAAGAAAACTCAGATTCACACAGGTATGTAGTTGAAAAAATAGGAAACTCACAAGTCCCTGGAAGGGGTCTCAGTGACCCCCAGGTATCTCCAGACCACGCTTTGAGAACTGTTGCTCTAGTCAACATTGCCTCTGTCCACATCATTCCCAAAATGGAATTGAAAAGAAAATCATGGGTACCACAAACATAGCTATCATCGTTCCTATTTGACGAATGAGGAAATTGAGACTAATACCCAGTGTTCAGCCCAGGTAAAACAGCTATTACTTCTTAACAAAAATACAGACAAAAGAACTTATACAGCAAAGCAAATATTGTGGTTGGTGGTCAGGTTGGACCAGGGCATGAGGTGGAAGGGATTTTATGGTGAATGTCCAGGAATCTAGGAAAAGCCCCCTGCCTACCCTGCAGTCTGGAGGTTCCCAGAGTTGGAGAGGACTGAGCTCAATCTTGAAAGATCCTAAAGCTTTGCATATGTCAAGAGAAGGCACTTCCTAGAGGAAGGAAAAGGTGAAATGCTAGTTTACATCTGTGTAGAGCTTACGAAGTACACTGATTACAACATGTACCCCTCCTTGATCTCTTTTTTGGTAACAGATTTTGGGACATTCAGGGAAAACAGGGAGATATTTCTGGCCAGAGCAAAGTGTGAAGGAGGTAGGAAAAGTTGGACATAGATGTTGGGTTGTAGTATAGAATGAGAAGAAGTAAACGAAGTTGACACCAGGGTACAGTTTTGAAGTTTCAGGGATGGGGAGTATCCACTGTTTTTTTTTATTCATTTTGATAGGTAGCCTGGAGTAGAGAAAGGAGCTCTCCCGTTAACATGCTGTGTGACCCCAGGCAAGGTACTTACACTCTCTGATCCTCATTTGTAATATGGAGATAATGATGCTACCTCACCGAGTAGTCCCGTGAGTTAAGTATATAAACTGTTTGGCAAATAATTGCCTTCTAGCAAAGTCATATTGAAATTAATGGTGATATGGGACTTCCCTGGCAGTCCAGCAGTTATGGCTCACTCTTCCACTGCAGGGGGCATGGGTTCAAACCCTGGTCAGAAAACGAAGATCCGCACTACATGTGGCCAAAAAAAAAAAAGATTGTTTAGGATTTTCTTCTTGGGACCTCTGGTGTCTTCCTTTCCCAGTTAGAAGGTGTCAGGGAGTTCCCTGGTGGTCCGGTGGTTAGGAGTTGGTGCTTTCACTGCCTGGGTTGGATCCCTGGTCTGGGAACTGGGATCCCGCAAGCCTGGAGGCAAGGCCAAAAAAAAAAGGTGTCATAGTCACATGTTCTGTTTTCAAAAGTACCACAAAATTGCTTCAGTGTTCTTTTGAAATTAATGTGTGTGTGCGTGCATGTGCGCGTGAATGCATTTGGTTGTGTATGTACATGCATTTGTGTATGTACATGGTATGGATTTCATCACTTCTAGAAAACCCTAAAAAAACTCACTCAGCTAATTTTTCACACCCTTTCTAAAAACTTGCTCCATTTTTGGATAACAGCTTTATTGAGATTAAAATAATCTACCATAAAATCCAACTTTTTAAGGTATACTATTCAGTGGGTTTTAGTAGTACATGCACAAAGTTGTGCGACTATCACCACTGTCTAATTCCGGAACATTTTATCACTCAAAAAAAGACACCCAGTATGTATTAGCAGTCACCCACTGTTTATTCTCAAACTCCTCAGCCCAGGCAACAATTAATCTACTTTCTATTTGTATAGACTTCCCTATTTGGGATATTTCATATAAATTAAATCATATAACATGTGGTCTTTTGTGACTGGTTTCTTCCACTTACTATGTTTTCAAGATTCAACCGGGGCTTCCCTGATGGCTCAGTGGTTAGGAATCCGCCTGCCAGTGCACGGGACACAGGGTCAAGCCCTGGTCCGGGAAGATCCCCCACATCACAGAGCAACCAGGCCCATACACCACAACTACTGAGCCTGCGCTCTACAGCCCGCGAGCCACAACTACTGAGCCCACGTGCCATAACTACTGAAGCCCACCTGCCTAGAGCCTGTGCTCCGCAACAAGAGAAGCCACCGCAATGAGGAGCCCGCTCACCGCAAAGAAGAGTAGCCCCCGCTCGCCACAACTAGAGAAAGCCCTCTCACAGCAACGAAGACCCAACGCAGCCAAAAATTAAATAAGTAAAATTTAAAAAAAGAAAGAAAAAAAAAGATTCAACTGTAGGTAGCATGTGTATAGTACTTGGATCATTTTATGGCTGAATAATATTCCACATTTTGTTTATCCATTTATCAGTTGATGGAAATTTAGGGTGTTTCCGCTTTTTGGCTATTATGAATAATGCTGCTATGAACATTTGTGTACAAGTTCTTGTGTGAATGTGTTTTCAGTTCTCTTGGGTATATACCTAGGATGGAATTGCTGGGTTGTGTTGTAACTCCGGGTTCAATCATTTGGGGAACTGCCAGTCTGTTTTTTGGAGTGGCTGCACCATTTTACATTCCTGCCAGCAGTGTATAAGTGTTCCAATTTCTCCACATCCTTGCCAATACTTGTTATAATCTGTCTTTTTGATTGTAGCCAACCTAGCGGGTATGAAGTGTTATCTCATTGTGGCTTTCATCTGCATTTCCCTGATGGCTAATGACATTGAGCATCTTTTCATGTGCCTATTGACTATTACAAAGTATATTTTCTTTGGAGGAATGTCTATTCAAATCATTTGATCATTTTTTAGTTAGGTTGTCTTTTTATTGAGTTTTAAATGTTCTTCGTACATTCTGAAAACTGGAGCCTCATCAGATACATGATTTGCAAATAACTTATCCCACTCTATGGGTTGTCTTTTCACTTTCTTGATGGCATCCTTTGAAGCACAGAAGTTTTTACTTTCAGTGAAGTCCAATTTATTTTTTCCTTTGATTGCTTATGCATTTGGTGTCATATCAAAGAAACTGTTGGCTTAATCAAATGTCACAAAAATTTGTGCCTATGTTTCTTTCTAAGAGTTCTATAGTTTTGGCTCTTATTTAGGTCTTTGCTCCATTTTGAGTAAATTTTTGTATATGGTATGAGGTAGGGGTCCGAGTTCACTCTTTTGCATGTGGTTATCCAGTTGACCTGGCACCATTTGTTGAAAAGGTTATTCTTTCCCCTTTGAATTGTCTTGGCAAAAACTTCCTTCCTAAGCTGACATTCTCTGGGGAAATGTACTCCCAGATGAAGAACTCAAGGAAGTGGGAGCATTGTAGATTAGCAAAGCACCTTTTAGATTCAGCTGAGCGATAGCAACCACAGCAACCAACGTCCAAGAGTGACCACAATACCCCACTCTTCTAAGCACTTTATGTGCACCACTGCTTTGTATTTTTCTGACAGCAACCCTGTGCAGTAGTCTCCATTATTATATCCGTTTTACCGAAGCTCAAAAAAGTTGAATAACTTGATGCATTAGTTATGTATTGCTGCATAACAAATTACTGCCCCAAAACCTGTGGCTTAAAACAACAAATGTTTGTTAACTCTTAGGTTTTGAGGGTCAGGAAAGCCACCCTCTCATGAGGTTGCAGTGAAGATGGTTTCCTGGTCTGTAATTACCTGAAGGCTGGCTTGACTGGGACCAGAGGATTTGCTTCCTAGCTCTTTCACATGGCTGGGGGCAGGTGGTCTCAGTCCTCAGCACATGGACCTCTCCATAATGTTGCTTGTGTCTCTCCATGTCATGGCAGCTGGCTTCTCCCAGAGTGATTGAACCAAGAGAGGGAACAAGGAGTAAGCTACAGTGAATCTTATGACCTAGGCTTGGAATGTAACTTCTGCTACATTCTAATCATTAGAATTAAGTCACTAAGTACTGCCAACATTTTTTGGGAGGGGAATTAGGCTCCACCTTTTGAAGGACAGCATATCAGATAATTTGTGGACATGTTTTAAAACCACCACACTTGCCCAAAGTCAAGAAGGTTGTAAGTGTTTTAGCAGGAGAAGCCCAGTGTGCAAGCACTCATAAACCCTGGCTTGCACCACACTCGTTAACGTCCCACTGGCCAAAGCAAGTCACGTGGCCAAGCCCAGAATCAACGTGGCAGAGGACAAGAGCCTACATACCAGGAGTTATAGTTCATTGGGGGACACCAGTATAAGTCTACCACAATGCAGTATCTTTTATCTCCCTCAGATATTAGACTCTTTGAAGTTCTAATATCTTTGAAGATATCTAATATCTTCAAAGTTCAAAACTTTGAAGTTTTGCAACCTGCATTGTCTCTATTTCTTTGGGTTTACTTTCTCTACCTGCTTTTAAGGCCCTGTTTTTCAGGTTAGAAGCGTTCCTCACATGCCTGATGAGTTTTGGCTGTCCTTCCATAGTCAGCCTCTAGTGAGGGGCTAAAATACTTAGAGGAGGCTCTGCGTGAGAGGAGTGGGTGGGAGGGCTTGTCTCAGGATGAGGTTCTCTGTGAGATCATCAGATCCAGACCAGCCATTTCACTGGGGGACCCCCAAATGTCAGTGTCTACAGATGTTTTGTCTTTGCTGATCAATATTCCCCAAGAAGCGTCCTCCATTCTCCTGCCTGGGGAGTAGAAGTCTGTGTGCCGGGTTCTGAGACCCAGGCTGGGGCAAGGCAAGGAGTGGGGGTCTCCATCCAGAACGCAGACTTTCACTGACTCCATTGCTTTCAGTATACCTTCCCCAGGCCACACCTGGGGGGTGTCTCCAGGGACCCAGGTGTCCCCAGATACCTGCTGCATCTATTGTTCAGCCTCGTTAGAAGGTGACCCTCCCATCACCTGCAGGCGTTGGGGAGGAAGGTGACACTCCCATCATCTTAGCTGGGCAGGATGGTGGAGCAGATTTGGGAGGATTCCAGCTGCTCCTTTGAAAGATTTTGAACTAGTTTTTTTTTTATCTCTTCAGCCCTACTTTGCACCTCTGACTACAGAGGTACCTGGAGCCTCTGATTCATCAGCCCTCCTGGAGTGCTGTGCTATGAACTGGACTTTTTCTTTTTTTTTTAAATTGAAGTATAGTTGATGCATAATATATGTTACAGATGTACAGCATACTGATTCACAATTTTAAAGGTTATTTTCCATTTATAGTTATTATAAAATATTAGCTATCTTCCCTGTGCTGTATAATATATCTCCTTCCTTGTAGTAGCTTATATATTTTCTACATAGTAGTTTGTACCTCTTAACCCCTATCCCTATCTTGTCCCTCCCCGCTTCTTTCTCCCCACTGGTAACCACTAGTTTGTTCTCTATGTATGTGAGCCTGTTTCTTTTTTAATTAATTAATTAATTATATTTATTTTTGGCTGCATGGGGTCTTCATTGCTGCGCGCGGGCTTTCTCTAGTTGTGGCGAGTAGGGGCTACTCTTCGTTGCGGTGCGCGGGCTTCTCATTGCGGTGGCTTCTCTCGTTGCAGAGCACGGACTCTAGAGCGCAGGCTTCAGCAGTTGTGGTGCCCGGGCTTAGTTGCTCCGCAGCATGTGGGATTTCCCAGACCAGGGCTCGAACCTGTGTCCCCTGCATTGGCAGGCGGATCCTTAACCACTGCACCACCAGGGAAGTCCCTGTTTGTTTTTTGTTATATTCACTAGTTTGCCGTATTTTTTAGATTCCACGTGTAAGTGATATCATATTGTATTTGTCTTTCTCCATCTGATTTATTTCATCTCCAAGTCCATCTGTGTTGCTGCAAATGGCAAAATTTCATTCTTTTTTATGGCTGAGTAGTATTCCATTGTGTGGTGTGTGTGTGTGTGTGTGTGTGTGTGTGTGTGTGTGTGTGTGTGTGTATACACATCTGGTGATTATACATATATCACATTTTCTTTATCCATTCATCTGTTGATGGAGACTTAGGTTGCTTCCATACCCTGGCAATTGTAAATTAGTGCTGGTATAAATATTGGGGTGCATGTGTCTTTTCAAATTAGTGTTTTTGGGGTTTTCGGATATATACCCAGGAATAGAATTGCTGGGTCATATGGCGAACTGGCCTTTTTCTTGTTAGCTGTTCCACCTTCACTTTTCCCACTCTGCTAAGTCACTTACCACTTCCCCCTCTGCTTTCCAGCTTCCAAAATGTTGTTGCCTTTATTCTTCCACTGCTATATCCTTTCCTGACTTCTTAGTCCTTATGGGTTTATACTTTTTTAAAAAAATTCCTCTGCTCTTACTTTAGCGGGGGGTCTAATGGGAAAGAAGAGCTAAACACATATGTTTATTAATCTACCTGGTTTCCTTTAAAGAGCACAGCACAAATGTTTAAATAGTATATCCATCAGGAGTCAGTTGCAGTAACAGAAAAGGTTGATTCAGAGAAGTAGGTGCTTGAAACACACTGGATAAACTAGAAGAATGGGCTCAAGGCTAGTCCTCCAGGAATGATTGTCAGAACCCTGCAGAACTGATCCTGCAAGAGAGCTGCAACCTGGTTGAGAGTCAGGGACCTGTGAAATAATAAACAACTGCCAGGCCCATCTTAGCCACATTCAGAGATCAGGCTGCTGCTGCCGCACTTTCAGCTTCAAAGCCACACGGTCTGCTAGACCGATATCCGCTAAGTGGAGGCCCAGAGCAACACTGCCTCTCCCCCTTCTACACTCAGGTAAGCACTCAAGTCTTGTGTGAAGGTGTCTGATTTTTTTTTTTTTTTTTTTGCCGCGCCACGCGGCGTGTAGGATCTTAGTTCCCCAACCAGGGATCAAACCCATGCCCCCTGCATTGGGAGCATGGCGTCTTAACCACTGGACTGCCAGGGAAGTCCCTGAAGGCATCTGACTGGTGTAACCCCAACCTCCGAAATGCATCTGGGGGGTTTTGCTGCAAGGGAACATAAAAAATACTGTTTTTCAGCCTTCCAGCCTCTGCAGTG